TTCTTTTGATGTCTGTTGCGTAATACATTTGGAGGGTTTGGGACCCTAGAGTGAAAAAGGAAGTTGGAGGCAAAGAAAAACACCACACCTTTTTGTATGACATGAACACAAGAGTGTGTACTGTTCTCAGCAGGAAGGAATAGTTGCAGACTCTGATTGTATTGTTTTCTTTCTCCTACCAGGATGTGTTTCTCATCTGCTTTTCGCTTGTGAGTCCGGCCTCATTTGAAAACGTCCGTGCCAAGGTGATCGATGCCTGTGTGTTTGAAGAGGTGAGAGCTGTAAAGGTTTTCATGAGCATGGCATGGATTTTTTATTTATTTACTGGTTTCTACAGAAAATCCAAATGCAAGTAATCCTTCTCTTTTTCTTTACGGCATTACGGATTATTCAAATCGGAGAGTTTTTGTCTGTGTTAAAGCAGAAGTCTGTGGTTTTGTTCATTAGCATTATAATCTTTATTGACATGTATCTGTCTGGTGAGTGTGATAAAACACCAATAATGAACCATTTTACTGGGCTAACAGACTCTGCAGTCGTGAGACATAGATCATTATTTTGTGCAGTTGTCTCATGTTGGTTGGATGCATGCCTTCTTTTCCTGGTGACTATACCTTGAGATTGTATCATAAAGTGAGTATAGTGTGTCGGCCAGTCACCTTTGACCATAGCTGGGGGTATTTAGTACCGCAGAGACATCTCTTTTATAACTTGAAGTGACACATAAAAAGCACACACTGACGCGTTCAGTAAATAGTTTAATCACTTTCCTCTTTGTGAGAATTATTTCAGACATTTAAGAAACCCCTGTTTGTCCACACCAGGGATTTTTTATTTTCAGGAGGAAGTTTGAACACACTTAGATAATATTCCCTGCTGCACATTAACTGCACTGAATCATTTTCCTTCCTGGTCTAGTATAGCCAACGTTTATCCTGTTAAGACATGTTGAGACCGATAGTGGCCTTATGATAAACAACGTGGGGGGGGGGGGCTCTGGTCCTCACAGCTTGAACCCAGCTCACCTTTTGCTGTAGTGCGACACCATCTGACAGAGTGCTGCGTTGACCAGTCAGTACATGCAGATCTACACTCCCAGTTGGTTACTCGTGTTGCGAACTCTGTATTTGTAATATTTATCTTGCGAAAGATTATTAATCTCACTGCAGCTCAGGGCAACCCGAGGCGACTTTAGATGAGATGATGACTGCAGATAAAGCATATGCCAGCTCAGCAGTATTTGCAGGCCGTCCATTAGCCCAAATAAATTATAAATGCCACATTTCGGTCAGATGGCGCTGATCGAAATGCCTTATTGATGCAGTGAGATTATCTGTGTGTTTTGT